AAATCTGACCAATATTAACTGGTTAAAATATCACTGGACAGGATGCTCTGGGTTTTAAGGAACATAGAGCAAAATAGTGCAGTTTCCCTTAATTTCAGAGAGATAGGTAAAATGACATCTTGTAGAAAACTGAGAGAATTCAGAATCAGAAGATGTTTCTGAGTTTAACGTGTGATTTTTATATTTGTCATGTTTGTGTATTGGTATGCTTGCCTAATGGATGAAATGGTAACATTAATTTTTCATCTGTGTATCCAAGAATTCTTCATAATATGGTAGAAAGTACCCATTCCTTGAAATTTTGAAAGAAACCACCAGCTTTTGTGTCATGTAGTTTGGTGCTCTCTTGATAGGAGCATATATGTTTATAATTGTATTTATTCCTGTTTTATCCTTTTATCGATACAAAATTTATGGGTATAGAATTGTTGATAATGTTAACCTTAAAAGTAAAACTGTCAGTCATTTTTCTAGCCAAAATGGGTTTATTTGGGAATAGGAGAGAATTGCAATTCACCACACGCAAGCAATGGCAAAACCAGAGGCAATATGGGAAGACAAAGCAGAGGACTGCTCTTTTATAGAGAAAGGCGGGGAGTTGAGAGGGGCTGTTGTAAGCAAAAAGTCCATTGGAGTAAACTGGGAGTTCCAAAGGGCCAAATTGTGACTGTCTGTCATTGTCTGGGTTTTGGCTGAGCAAGAAAACCTTTCTTCCTCCTGCTGAGGCAGTCAATAGTATCTACTCACAAGTCTTCTTTTCCTGTTGGGTCTCTAATTAATTAATGCCTGGGTGTGAGAGCTCCTCCTTCTGGCCTCCCTACTCCATTTAAAGTGAAGTTTCCTGGGGTGCCTGGGTGGCAAAGTCATTTGAGTGTTGGACTCTGGACCTCAGCTCAGGTCTTGATATCAGAGTCCTGAGTTCAAGCCCCATGTTGGCCTCCATGCGGAGTGTGGAGCCTACTTAATAAAAAATAAAGTGAGGTTTCTTTCATTAATTTTCACAGTAATATTCCTTTAGTGTCCTTTTCATGTCCGAAGCATTCATAGTGATGACCCCATTTTCATTTCTGTCGGTAGTATTTGTGCCGTTTCTCTTTTGTTAGTTAGCTTCACTAAGGGTTCATCAATTGTATTGAACTTTTCAAAGAACAAGCTTTTGATTTTGTTGGTTTTCTCTATTGACTTCTTGTTCTTAATTTCATTTATTCCTATCATGTTTTATTATGGATTTTCTTCTGTTCTTTTATATTTCATTTTCTGTTCTTTTTTTAAGATTTCATCTATCTATTTGAGAGCGAGAGAGCATAAGCAGCAGGCTCCCCAGTGAACAGGGAACCCGATGCGGGTTTCTGTCCCGGGAACCGGGATCACCACCTGAGCAGAAGGCAGATGCCCAACCAACCAAGCTATCCAGGTGCCCTCAATTTCCTGTTCTTTTACAGATCTCAAGGTAGAAACTTAGACTGTTGATTTTAGATCTTTCTTTTCTAATATATGCATCCAGTGTTATAAATTTCCCTCTAAGAATTGCTTTCATTGCATGCCACAAGTTTTGGTAAGTTGTATTTCCATTTTCATTTGGTCAAAATATTTTCTTCTTGAGGTTTATTCTTTGATCTGTTACTTAAAAGTGTGTTGTGGGGCACCTGGGTGGCTCAGTGGGTTAAGCATCTGCCTTCGGCTCAGGTCATGATCGCAGGGTCCTGGGATCGAGCCCCACATCGGGCTCTCTGCTCAGCAGGGAGACTGTTTCCCCCTCTCTCTATCTGCCTGCCTCTCTGCCTACTTGTGATCTCTATCAAATAAAATCTTTTAAAAAAGTGTGTTGTTAAATCTCCACAAATATTTTGTTTTCCAGTTATCTGTTCTAGTTTAGTTTCACTGTGATCTGAGAGCATATTCTGTATGATTTCTATTTTTTAAAATTTGCTAAGGTGTGCTTCATGGCCTGGAAATGGTCCATCTTGGTGATATTTCACAGGTACTTAAATATGTGCGTTCTGCTGGTATTGGATGAAATATTCTATAAATGTTCAGTGAAGTGTTGGAATTGAAGGTGAAACTGGAGTGAGCTCGAGAGAGAATGGAAACAAGATGGGCACCTGGGTGGTTCAGTCGGTTAAGCACTTGCTCATGATCCTGGGTCCTGGGATTGCGTCCTCTATCAGGCTCCCTGCTCAGCAGAATCTGCTTCTCCCTCTCCCTTCCCCCTGTGTTCTCTTAAATAAATAAAAGATTTTTTAGAAAGAGAATGGTAAGAGAGGATGAGACCCACCCTGCCAACTAAGATAAAAGCCTTGTTTTTTATTAGCTATATAATATTCTACATAGTTATCCATTTAGGTTGGATTTTTCAGTATTAAAATGTTCTATTTTTTCCTTGTATTGAGAACATAAATTGGTGGGACACATAGTGATAATTTTTGTTAACATTGTCACACTAGATGGATGCTATTATTCCCCTTTGGCCAAGCCAAACATTTACACACACACACACACACACACACACACACACACACTCTGCTCATTTAATACACCTACAATGACATTTTTGTTCTTTAAATTTATAATTCTTAGATTACTAGTAAGCCGGAAGATTCTTTCATACTTCTTATAGCCATTCCAGTTTATCTAAAAGTTGTGTTCATATCTTCTTATTGGAATAGCCCCTTGCTACCCCCGTTCCTCCCCTATCTCACCCATCTGGTCTCAGTTTAAAGACCACTTGCCCAGAGTCCTCTCTGGAAAATCTACCTGTAACACTCCTAGAATCCTTCCCTTCCTAGCACTTGTCAACATGGAGCTGCATAGGTAGTTTTGATTTTAATGAATTCCTATCCTCCCTCCCCCACCTCCCACCTTAAGAAACTCCACGGGTATGTTGCTTCCTTTTATAGCCCGGGGCCTTGTGCTGCATCTTTGGGAGATGCATGTCTTCTGTTTGTAGTTGCTACTGGACTTGGTTATCGGGTCCTTCAGATGTTCTAAGTGAGACTCGATGCTCTATTGGAAAAGCATTCATTGTTGTGTGCTTACTGTTTTTTGTTAACTGGTTGTTGGCTCCGTATTGAACACTTATTCATCTAACACCTTCCCAGTGCACTCCTGTTTGGGGACGCTGACCCCGGGCATCGTGCTCTGAGCTCAAGGGCAGAAGTGAGGAACATTCTGTTCCAGATCTTCTGGGATCCAAGGGGTTAGTGCAGGGAAGTCAGGTGGCCCAGGCCCCACCCTGGGGACAATATTTGCCAGTGCCTTTGACTGCACGGGTCCTCATCTGCACCACAGCCCAGGGCACTGAGGGCACTTCCTGGTGTGGGGAAGGAGTTTGTGTCGTCAGAGTATCACACACCCACAGGCCTCGAGGACTGTGTGGTCAGACCATTTCACAGGGGACAGAAGACTCTTCCGCACAGACCCCACCCTCTCCAGTCTCTGCCTGGCAGCCAATTAGCCTTTGTTCTCCAGGTGTGAAAACCAGCCGAACCGCAGCCAGTCTTCTCAAGACCTAGAATAACACGCTGGCAGCCAGTTTTGTCCCTGGTTTTAAAGGGTTTTGTAGGCTCGAAATACAACATTAATAAAGCACAGTTTTATGTGTAGCCTTTAAGTGTTTGAATTAGGACTCTGGACTGAACTGTACCATCAAAGGTCCTCTTTTAGTATGCTTTGAACCAAAACAAAGCTTAGACCTACATGTTTAAAAAAGAACAAAAAAGAACAAAACTATTACTTGTGGGTGGTATAATTTTGAACCGCAAATTGAGAAACTGAGAAATTACTGAAAATTAACAACATTCATCAATGAGGTGGCTAGGTTCACAAATATATAATTAAAAATAACTCCTATGTAAGAACAATAATCAACTAGAAAAATACAATGAAAAAACTATTTACAATAACAAAATTGTATAGAACTTACATGAAGAAAATTAGGAAAATGTACTCAGGAATATAATACTTGAGTAAATGGAAAGGTATGTTTCTGGATGGGAAACAAAATTTATAAAGCTAACAAGTTTCCCCAGTTTATAGGATTAACCTATTTCCATCAAAATACCAATGTAAAACTTTAGGAAACCTAAAAGAAAAGCAAAAACTGACCAAGAATCGTTAAAGTAACACACCACAGGATCGGTCCCTTGAAGGCACCGCTGGCCTTGCCTCTGGGCAGACAAGTCAGGAAAGTGGGTATCAGGCCAAAGAGAACAAGTATCCACTAGAGTGGAGACACTGGAGTCTTGTCTCCTTGAGGGGCAGTGTGAGCTAGCCACCGGAGACCCCTGCTAAAAATAAAACACTCTGCTTATGAGGTAGTGACCATCCACTGCCAAGGGTCTGATGACTGCCTGGAGGGGAATTAAGCACATGGTAAGGTTATTGACCAGTCATGGGTCTAAGCCAATGTCTTCCTCTTCCTCTTCAGGCTCTTGGATTTCCTTTGTAGGCAGGTTTTCTTCTTGGCTCATCAGAGGGACCAGATTCTGAAGAGCTTTTCCAGTAGCGGGGCTGGGTGGGTGGGCCTAAGCGATCCGAACTTCTCTTGGCAATGGAAAGGCATGAGAGAGCTGTCTGAGCAAGAGCTGGACAGAACACAGTAAGAGCAGTAGACACTTTAAAAGTATGTTGTGAAAAGTATTCCTGTAAAAGTCACTTTTCACTACAAAATGCAAATGTTACGGAGATCAATTGTTTAGATCATGTAAAAATGACAGAGTAAGTCTTTGACATTCAATTGCTGTATTTTCCTATATTCCAAAGTAAACAATCCCTTTCAACACTCAAGCTTTAACAGGGTATTCTGAGAAGGTTATGTGAATTGCTAATAGAAGCTATTGGCTTAACAAATCAGTAGTTTGGTTCTTTCAGGGGAACACAGTTCCAGATAAGGACCTTTGCGTTATTTTTTTTCCTGTAGCATGAATTCCTGTGGGGGCTGGGGAATGATATACTTCCATTCGCATTGAGTGACTCTGCTCACCTTGCTGGTGTGGGGCCTTCAGAGTCCTATTCAAAGCCATTGTGGGAAAGGGATCTGTGGCCTCTACAATGTTGTATAAGTTCACAGAAGAAAGCTCCTTTATCCAGAAAGTGTGGATGCTAACTGAGGTATAGCCCTTGAGGATGTTTTCTTCCCTGTGAATTTTCTAAAAATTGGAGGTTTTAGCCAAGATGGGTATTTATCCAATTTTGGCTTTAATGAGGTTTTCCCATTTCTGCATCTTTTCTGACAGCCAGGGAATTCAGAGTTCCTTATGAAACATTTCAGGTTGAGGCAGGATCATCAGACCTTTCTTGATCCCATTTCTGCTTTCGGGTCTTACATGCTGAGTGGGTTTTTTCATGCCGGGTGCAGTTGGACAGCCGACCAAATCTTCTCCCACATTTTTTGCAACTGTATGGCCTTTCAGCCTCATGACTCTGCAGATGAAGCACAAATTCTTTGTTCTCTGGGAAGGTTTTCCCACATTCTGGACACTTAAATATCTTCTCCCTTATATGGATTCCTTCATGGCGACTCCGATGAGAGTTTTGACGAAAGTTTTTCCCACATTGAGAACATGAATAAGGTTTCTCTCCTGTATGGATTCGCTCATGTTTATTAAGGTTTGTTTTATGATTGAAGCTTTTCCCACAGTGACTACAGTCATAGGGTTTTTCTCCAGTGTGAGTCCTCTGGTGGGAAATAAGGTAAGAACTTTCATTAAACTGTTTCCCACACAGTGGACAAGTGTACCATCTTCTTGTTCTCCGATTTCGGGTAAGTGCAATCACATTGATATCCACATATTTTGAGAGTTCCTCTAGTGGAGTATCATTTTCAATGGTAACTAGAAGATTTCTCATTTTCCTTTGCTTGGGAATAGATGTATTAAGTCTTTCTTTATGGCAATATGGAGATTCCTCAGAGACCACAGAACGATCTACTTCATCACAATCTGAAATCTCTTCTCTATGATCTTCATTCTCTACAGTTTCTTTCTGAAGATCTTCACTCTCAGGATTAACATCATTGACTGTGGAAACAAAAAGAATTTAGTAACTTTTGAGGGATACGACACCAGGCAGGGAAAAACAAGTTAGATTTCTCATTAAAAAATAATCTTGAGGGATGCCTGGGTGGCTCAGTTGGTTAGGCCACTGCCTTTGGCTCGGGTCGTGATCCCAAGGTCCTGGGACCGAGTCCCACATCGGGCTCCTTGCTCTGCAGGGAGCCTGCTTCTCTCTCCACCTCTGCCTGCCTGCCACTCTGCCTGCTTGTCCTCTCTCTTTGACAAATAAATAAATAAGATCTTAAAAAAAATAATCTTGAGTGTCAGAAATCTGAGGACTAGCAAATAATCATTATCAATACTCCTTTTCTGCTCTTATCGCGGGTGGAATATATGACTGATAAATCTTACTATGCAATGTGAGCACACAGCCCCCCCCCCTTTTTAAATGAAATGAGTGGGACTACACTGAAAGATTTCATGTTTGCTTTCTGAATAGGCAGTAATTACTCAACAAGTGCATATTGATCTTATTATATTCTATGTAGATCAGTGAGCTAAGGACCAAGGGATGAAGGACATAAATACTAAATGGTACCACTCATACTCTTTTGGAGGCTAGTAAGTGAACGGTGAGGTGAGTTATTTCTAGGTTTTCACTACATTTAATACTATCATATTACAAGATTAGATAATACTGTATGTAATATCCTATATAGTGAAAAACTGGGAACAATTCAAATGATCAGAAATAATTAAGGCACATCACATTCACTCCGTTGGTGATTATTTGGGCATTACAGTGATGACCACAAATAATAAAACTAAAGTATGATGGGAATCAATGTGGTCTCTTTAGGGGAACAGGGAATAGTAATTAGGCAATGGGCACAAGAAGGACTTCTGGGGTGCTAGGAATAGTCATTTTGAATGGTAATTAGACAAATGTATACATTTTGTGAAAATCAAAGGTGAACACTTATGATTTGTAGACTTTGTGTATTTATACCTCTGAAAGGAGTCTGTGTAAAATAACAGATTATAAAGACTTGATAACAAAGTTAAAAAAAAAAAGTATGCCATGAAAACATGGGGTGAAAAGGGACCCCCAAAACTCCGGGCAACGTGCTGAAAATAAAGGGTTAAATCAACCACTTTGATATGTGGCTGACCACAGCACGGAATACACGTCTTTGCTGGACTTGACAGTTTCACACTAAAGCATTTTCTTTTTCATTCATTCCCTTAGGTAATTAAATGCTGGGTTGTGGGTGCCTGGGTGGCTCAGTGGGGTAGGGCCTCTGCTTTCAGCTCAGGTCGTGGTCCTGGGGTCCTGGGATCGAGCCCCACATCAGGCTCTCTGCTCCGTGGGGAGCCTGCATCCCCCCCCCCCTTTCTCTGCCTGCCTCTCTGCCCACTTGTGATCTCCATCTGTCAAATAAATACATAAATAAATCTTTAAAAAGAAAGAAAGAAAGAAATGCTGGGTCGAAGTAAATGGCAATACTTATCGCAGCTCTTGACGGAGATTCCCACACTTCTTTCAAAAGCAGCTTACCAGTTTTAATACTACCATCAACATGTGGGTATCAATTTTACCTAATTTTGCCAGCATTAGATTGAACTTAAAATCATGTAGTGGGTATAAAATGGTTTCTCATTCTAGCTTTTTTTGTACTTTAGTATTAGTACAATCTACTAATTTATTGGGCTGAGACTTTTAGAAATTTAAATAAATTTTACATATAGCAAATCTTAATCTGAGTCAATCACTACTGATACAAATATTTTTTTTTAAGATTTTTATTTATTTATTTGATAGAGAGATCACAAGCAGGCAGAAAGGCAGGCAGAGAGAGAGGAGGAAGCAGGCTCCCTGCTGAGCAGAGAGCCCGATGCGGGGCTCGGTCCCAGGACTCCGAGATCATGACCTGAGCCGAAGGCAGCGGCTTAACCCACTCAGCCACCCAGGCGCCCCAACTGATACAAATATTTAACTGAAGTCTTCCTCTGTAACTCCACAACTTAAAATCATATAAAAGTATCAAAATCTGATAAATTTTCTATTTTCTAGGTATTCCTTTATTTCTAGGTATTCCTTTATTCCTTTATGACTTATATTTATACTTAACTCTTAATACATTTGGAGCTTAATATCACACTGTAAGTTATGGTTTGTAATGTGTAATATTGGTAAAAATCAGTAAGAATATCCTTTTTAAAAGTTTGACTCTTAATGTATTTAGTATAAATAAATTTGGGGCACTGCTATCTTTACATGATTTTAGTTTTCGCATTTAGACTTGCGTTTCTCCAGTTTAAAAAAAATCTTTATTTACCAGTAAAACATCTGTGGTTTACTTTTTTATTTTGTTAAAGATTTTACTGTATTACAGAGAGAGAGACAGCAAGAGAGGGAACACAAGCAGGGGGATCAGGAGAGGGAGAAGCAGACTTCCCACTGAGCAGGGAGCCTGACTCGATCCCAGGACTCTGGGATCGTGACCTGAGCCGAAGGCAGAGGCTTTAACCCACTGAGCCACCCAGGCGCCCCTCTTATTCTTTTTTTTAAAAGATATTACTTATTTATTTGAGAAAGAGAGACAGAGATAGCGACAGAGATAATAAGAGAGAGCACAAGCAGGGAGGAGGGAGAGAAGCAGGCTCCCTGCTGAGCAGGAAGCCTGATGTGGGTCTCCATCCCCTGACCCTGGGACCATGAACTGAGCCAAAGGCAGATGCTCAACCCAAATATGTCCCTCAGGCACCCCAAGATTTACTCTTCTTAACCTCTTATCTATTTGCTTTATCCAGTTGATATTAATAGTGACAGCAGGTTTCCCTATTTTGTTCTTTTTTTTTTTTTCAAGATTTTTTCATTTATTTGACAAAACGCACGTGTGAGAGAGCATGAGCAGGGATGGGGGCGGGTTGGAAGGGAAAGGAGCAGAAAGAGAGGGAGAATCAGCAACCTCCATGCCTAGCATGGAGCCCAAAGTGGGGCTTGATCTCACACAACACTGAGATCATGACCTGAGCTGAAATCAAGAACTGGATGTTCAACTGCCTGAGCCACCCAGGAGCCCCAGTGGACTAATTTTTAAGATAAAAAAAAATTTTTAGTAGCTAATATATAGTTCATATGGTTACAAAATCTAAATATGAAAAGATAAATGCTAAGAAGTCTTACTCTAGTCCCTGTCCCCATCCATTCTACTCACCACCCAGATAGGTAGCAGTTTTTATTAGTTTCTTTTTATTCTTCCATAGATGATAGATTTTCCTTTCTTCCCTTTTTTTATATAAAGGATAGTAAGCTATGTATATGTCTGCTACTTGCTTTATTTTGATCATTACATTCCAGTGCATGGCGATTACCATGGTTTGCTGTGTGGACACATCATATTCAACTAGCCCCCTGCAGAGACACTTGGATTGTTTTCAATCTTTTCACAAACAGTACTACAGTTTTCACCAACAGTTTCACAATCAGTACTACAATGAATAACCTCATTTGCATATTATTTTGAAAGTGCGCTGTTATCTGTAGGCTAGATTCACAGAAGTGGAACTGCTGGATCAAAGGTAAATGCATCTTTAATACTGGTAATCAGATTCCCATATATAGGGAGTGTCCCATTCTACACGTCCACCAGGATTACACCTTTCTCCCAACAACCTCACTACCAATGTGTTAAGTTTCTGATTTCTAGAAATCTTATAGATGAAAAAAGGCGGTAACCTGGTAGAAGTTTAATCTGCATTTCTAATTAAGAGTAGGGCTGGACATCTTTTCATGTGTTTATGGGTCATTTGTATTCCTAAGCTTATCTGCTGGGGCTTTTTCTTGGTGTGCAAAGTAGGGTATGATTCGCCAAAAGGCTGAGTTGTCCCAACACCTTTAAGAGCCCCTTCCTTTCCATTGCTCTTCTTTTCAATTTTCCTGGTTATTTGTGTTTATTTTTCCAATTGAATTAGAGATCAGATTATCTACTTCCAGGGGAAATAAATCCTACTGGTATTTTTAAAGGGATTACATTTACTTCATAAACCGACTTGGGGAGAACTGATGTTTTAATGTTAAATTTTCCTAGTCAACATGATATTCCTTCCCATTGGTTCAAATCTACTTCTGTGTTGTACTATAGATTCTGAAACAAGGTATATTCCAGGATAATTAAGTAATTTTTTAAAATTTATTTTTCTTTAAAGATTTTATTTATTTATTTGACAGAGAGAGGGGGAGGGAGAGAGAGAGACAGCAAGCAAGCACAACCAGGGGGAGAGGGAGAGGGTGAAGCAGGCTCCCCACTGAGCTGGGAGCCCAATGCGGGGCTCAAGCCCAGGACCCTGGAACCAGGACCTGAGCTGAAGGCAGACTCTTAACTGACTGAGCCACCCAGGCACCCCTAGAAAAATTGTGTAATTTTAATTTGTATTTCTCCTGTGGCCCAATGTTCTTAATAATCATTTCTCAGTGAAGGGAACTTTTTTTTTTTCCAGTTTCATTATTACTTTCTCATTGTACCGCACTGTGATAGATCCTGTTGTGTTATTTCCACTTTCTGGAATCTATTGAGTTTGTCTTTGTTGTGCAGTATGTAGTCAATGTGCATTAATCTTGAAAAGGCTTATACTCTCTTACCATAGTAGAGGGCAGATATGACCACTTTGAAAATTCAAGTGTTCTACATTTTCAGTTGTTTTATGTGATTCACTTGAACTGAGACACACTTTCTTTCCTCCGCCAAGGATTCTTCTGTGATTCCTATAACTACAAGGTTCATTCCCTCACACTTTTCCCTTTTCACACTACTTAATGTTACTATTTCAAATGTCAGCTATATACTGATGACTCCCAAATCTCTACATCTTTACATGTGACCTCCAGTTCCTAACGTCCAAGTGCCTGGAGAATAATCTCACTTTATTTCCTGTCATGGATTCAATCTCATCTAAAATCAATTCTATCTTCTTGCAAACTCTGCTCCTGGGTCCAAATCCTATCTTGACCTTATCATAGCTCTTTATGGCTATAATGGTTTCATAATGGTTATCTTTTTATGTGAATATGTGAATGACTTATCTTTTAAAAACAAATTGGAAGCTTTAGTGGGCAGGAATGGAGCACTATGTATCATTTTAACCCAATGATAATCAACTCCAGAATCCAACTCTGCCTAAGTACACAGCAAGTAGCATATATTAAATGTTGGTTTAAATCATCAGCTTTCGGGTATGGTTGACGATTGGGCCTGAGAGCCTCAGGGTCCATGACCAAAGTGATCCTGGAATTAGCAACATACCCACCAACCAGTCATCTAAAATAAATGCTAATTTTACCAAAGAAAAACTCAGTGTAATAAATGTGAGCTGTTTATGCTTCTCTCTAAAATAAGAAAATATTAGGGTTGCTTGGCTAGCTCAGTTAGTAGAACATGCTTGTTCTCAGGTCGTAAGCTGGAGCCCCACATTGGGCATAGAGTTTACAATTGGTTACTCAATCACTAAGTGTGTACAAACACACACACACACACACACACACACACACACAATACATAAAATCTTAAAAAATATTACATAGAATAACCTGTGGGAAATTAACCAGGCTCTCTGTGTACCACACTACCCTGACCACACAATGTAAGACAACTACGGAATTCAACAGTCATGGATTTTTATTTTGTTACCCCAGGCAACTCACAAAACCCACTTTCTGCTCCACTTAAGCCTCAGAAGCAAACAGCCCTGAAGGCAAAGTAAAAAGTAATAAGGCACTTGGTAAAATGATTTCTGAGGGCCCCTGACTCTAGGTTAGCAGTGTATTTGTAGAAAAAGGCTGAATCATCTCTTAGCAGCTTACAGAGAAGCTGCTGCCAGATGAGTTTGTATGTAGTATTCTCATATAAGAATAGTTTTTAACCATTACTGGCAAATAAGGACAAATGAAAGAACGCCCCATTCACCAACCATATAGACAATTCACTGAAAAAATTATGAGAAATGCAGCAGGAAGGCAGTGTAATTCTGGGCTAAGATCTAAGATTGCAAGCTCTAATATTAGAATTCCTGAGTCCAAATCCCTGCTCTGCTACCTACTGCTGTGTGACTTTAGCAATTTCTTTTTTCTTTTCTTTTTTGTTTTGTTTTGTTGGGAAGGAACGCAAAGTTTATTGAGCAATAGTATGAAGCTCCTGAAGAGGGAGGGACCCAAGAAGGTTGCCCAACCTTTAGCAATTTCTTAATATGTTTCTGCTTTAGTTCTGTCATTTGTAAAATAGTAATAATTCGTATATTCTACAGTACTTTTGTGAGCGATGTATGTGATAATAAAGGCATGCAAAGCACTTAGACTAGTGCCTCGTACATAATGGCACATGGGTGCTTAGTAAGTGCTATATAGTATTCCCATCAACATGGGATGTATTTGCATTCACACTAGTAGACTTCATAGCTACTAGACATCAAGGGGAAAAAAAAGACTTAAAAGAGTCATGGGTCCAATGAAAACACTAATTTAAAATACACCTGTTGAGGGACTAGCACTAAATGCAGAAAATGGACTCAGAAACAATCAGCCTGCATTTTTCTATCTGTTTGAATGTTTGATGTCAGGACATCAGCCGCAGGTCTTTCTTACCAAAACATGTCTCCTCCACCCCTGCTGCCCTAAAGATACAGGAAAAATGGCCACCACAACTGGTGCAGGCTCTGCCACATGGGATAGAACAAAAATGAAACGTGTGTGACCGTGTACTTAGATAGTGTCGGTCAGGTCTTTAAAAAATCTGACAAAACAGGGGCGCCTGGGTGGCTCAGTGGGTTAAGCCGCTGCCTTCGGCTCAGGTCATGATCTCAGGGTCCTGGGATCGAGTCCCGCATCGGGCTCCCTGCTCAGCAGGGAGTCTGCTTCCCTCTCTCTCTCTGCCTGCTTCTCTGTCTACTTGTGATCTCTCTCTGTCAAATAAATAAATAAAATCTTTAAAAAAAAAAAATCTGACAAAACAGAACATGCTTTTTCCACAGCATTCAGTATGAACACACAAGATCTCTCACCCAGTAACATCATCTCCCCGACATTGTCTTCCTTCTCTGAGGTGGGCTGTTGAGCAGCATCCAGGCTCACACATTCTTCTTGGGAGTGAAATACATTCAAGTCCTCAAGGACCACCAGTTCCTGAAACAGCAAAAGGCCCCCTTCCTCTTAATAACAGAGGTTCTTTGGTTCTTTTATAGCTCTGCTGGCAAAAAAGACCGAAGCCCAGCGATCAGGGAAGGGAAGGTGAAAGGGGTCTATAAATTCCACACAGCTGCAGCACGGACCAGAGAGCCAGGCTGAGACAGGAGCCAAAGGACAAGCAGAAGAGAAATATCCAAGGAGGCAGTGAAAAACGAGCCCACTCTCCTTACGGACTCCCAAGAATGTATTTTTATACATGGGTTGGCTGAGCAGGGATTGCTGAGCAGAGAAGGTGAGGTACTCAAAACAGTGGATGGGAAAACCAAACCCACCTCAGGCTCAGTTTTCAAATACAGAGACACTGTGTCCTGTTTCTGCTGGATTCCTTCTCTGGGCAGAATCTTCACCATGGGATGAGGTTGCACTGGGTAAAGAGGAAGCTGTAGTTAATGGAAAAATCAGTGGCTCTAATATGGGAACCCCTAACCACACCTTAGGCCACACTGTCCTCACGCCTTCCGAAGGCAATTCATGGATTTTTTTTTGCTTCTGTGAGCCCAGGAAGAGTTCAAGCCATAAACCACAGAGTCTTGAACCTATATAGGGTCTCCTCATTATGAAAAGAATGATTCTCTTAAAAACTTTTAAAATTCCCATTACTACTAAAGGGAAGGCTAGAGGAGGGTAATGTCCGAAGATGCCCACAAGCACAAAATTTCCAAAATTCCACATAAACTGCAGTCAATTCAACAATTCATCCACATTTCTTTATCCTAAAATGATAAACACCCTCCCAACGTTTGGGTAAAAAAATGACACTATGTTTGTTCTATGGGTTTACACACACCCAGCAAGGCACTCCAGTTCCAGCTTGAGCACGAGCACTCCCTCTCCCCAACATGCTGACGTTAGAATCAACTTTTTTCAATACCCACTATCCTAACCTGAATTCATCACTAACATAAAAACCTATGTCTGCCCCTACTACCAGTCCCTTCTCTTCTAGTGAAACAGCGTGTGCTTCTTACATCTGTTCTGAAAGTTTGAGCTCACATCCTTCATAATAACCAAGGTCTCCTTGACTTTCTGATTGGGCTGGACCAGGCTTGGCTTGGGCAAGAAGGTGAGGAAGTGCTCCAGAACCAGCTGGTGGATGGTCTTGGGCCCACTAGTAGCATCCCGAAGTAGGTCTTGGCCCAGCTTGGAGTCCGGAGGAACTCTCAGTATAAAGGACCGCTTAGGCTTTAGGGGCATTGGAACCACTTTTGCAGCCATCGCGCCTTGCAATCACACACCACACTCGTTTCGCAGAGCTTCGGGAGTCACCTCTTACTGAAGAAAATCTGTCAGGGAGCCGAGCTGCAGACGAGAGAAACCATGGTTTACCCACAAAAACCAGGTCCAATATACAGCCTGGACAGTGGGGCCACATGAGATTTAAAGCGGAAGGAAAGACAAGCTGGGGTGAGGAACTCCGAACGCAAACGGAAGGTCCCTGAACTAGACACTCCTAGCAAGGCCTGAGAGGAAGCTCTGAGAACGAAAGCTGGAGGATGTCCAAACCCCAGGGGTCACCCTCCTGAGAACATACATGAAGTGCAAATTCCACTGGGAAGAGCGGTTTAACTCCTGCTGGTAGGAAGGGCAATGGGCTAGAAGACAGGAAACCTGGGGTCCAGTACCGAGGGCATCCGCTTAGAAGTTGGCTTGGTCATTAAATGAAGCCGAACTGCGCACCTTGGACCGCGAGTCCCTCGGGTGTCCTTGCGGGGCGGGGGGCAGTGGATCGCTCGAGGAGCAAACGCAAGACCGCATGAGAAGCCCATACACGGCCTGCTGACTCCTTTCGTGGAAGCCTTGCTAAGAGCGGCGAGGGACAGCCCAGGGGGCCCAGCTGGCCAGGCCCATTCCGGAGCCTCTCCCACCGGCCAAGGGGTACCTTTATCACAAAGCCCAGACGGCAGCATTGCCCGCAGTGTTTCCGGCTCCCTAGCTGGCCCGGCTCCCCTAGCAACAGACCAAGCTATGCTCCCCAAGAGGCCACCTCTGCCCGCTTCCCGCCCTCGCGGAGCCCCTCACCTCTCAGGGGCTCTGCCGCCCCTGGGTGCTCGCAGGGGACGGCTCAGAGCCCCCGGCGCAGAGAGACCGGGAAATGAGGCGCGAGACGCCGAGCCCTCCCCTCGCCCTTCGGAGTGTCCTCACAGTCCGCCGGCGACTATTGGCTTGAGGCGCCGTCAGTTGGGGAGGACGGCCTGGACACGGTGCCTTCTGGGAGGCCGGACGCCCCCGCAGCCGTGACGTCACAACCGGTGCCTCGTTTCCAGTGCGGAAGCCTGGTCTCCCCGCTCGGAGCGGGTGGGCTGTGCTTGAGAAGGCGACGCTCGAGGACGACAGGCAGCGCTCTCAGCGCCAGAGGGAGAACGGGCTGGCGGCAGCCGCTGTTTCTGTGGCTCTATCTGGAAGACGGAAAGCAGAAGGTAGGCTCCAATCCTCCATGACGGGCTGGCTCCTCTCCAGATACTAGCTGTGTCGCTCCACCGCCTGCTGGGAAATGTAGTTCGGCTCCGAACAGCCACTGGGAGGCCGCCAGGCGCGGCGGTTGGGGCGGGACAGTCCCACCCCGACTCCATCCCGCTTTCCGGGGCTCGACAGGAAGTGGGCTGCCTCTCGGACCGGAAGATCTGAGAGAGGCTGCGGCTGTCTCCGCCGCAGCATCCTGGGTCTGTCGAAGGACCGCTCAGGCGGTGAGTGGGTGGCGTGTCAGGGTCTGTGCCCGGTTCTGGGTCCTGTCACAGCTGTCCCTTCCGGTAAGGGCGGCCCATAGATCAGAACCTGGCGACCTTCCCCTCCCCCGCTTGCCACCTTCTACCTTGCGGTCTGAATGGGCCGTCTTGTTTTCTGGGAAATCCTGGTGATCATTCTCCAGTCGCCTTCGTTTCCGTCCCCAGCCTCTCAGGGAGGTCTAACCGCCCTTTGTCCCTGCGTTGTTTCCATTCTCGGTTCATTCCCCAGTGAAGCACTGATCAGCGTTGTGACAGCCCCGGGGCAGGGAGCGCTTTATTCTTCTATGTAACGCCTGCCTCCCGCTGGATGACCAAAGTAAAAGTATAGATGGATGGTTTTTTCCCTTAACGCTAACTAACTCTAGGTGACTCATTTAGCCATGTTTTAAAACATGTTACAAGACTAGTGTCAAAACTGTGTGGTACCAAAAGTTTTTCTAAAAATAAGGGATACTTGCTTTTCCAGACATCAAAAGCCAAAAACAACAGTAACAAAAACTACTTGAATCAAAGCAGCGTGGTTTGAACCAGACGTCAATAAGTAGATCAGAAAAGAATAGTAAGTGCTAAAGTTGATCTGAATGTACATGGACCTATGTGAAAGGGTAGCATTTCAACTTAGTGTAAAATAGATGGTGCTAGCAAAAATTGTCTACTCTTCTGGAAAGACAGCATGTGTCCTTATACTATGTACAAAAAGTGGAATTTAATAACCAATAAGAGAATACAAAAGAACATTAATTTAATGTTGGGGCAGGTTGGGTAACTCAGTCGGTTAAGCATCTGCCTTCAGCTCAGGTCATGATCTCAGGGTCCTGGGATTGAGTCCCCAGTTAGGCTCCCTGATGGGTGGAGACTCTGTCTCCCTCAGCGACCCCCCCAACTCCTCCCCCACCCAGCTCATGCACATGCTCTCGCTCTCTCTCTCTCAAAAATAAATCTTTAAAAAACCCTGATAAGTGGTTAAACAAGATGTAGTATATCCATATAATGAATAAGAAATGAATGAGTACTAGTATATGCTGCAACATGGATGGATCTCAAAAACATTATGCCAAGTGGAAGGAGTCAGTCACAGAAGACCTCATACTGTGTGATTCTGCTTGCATGAAATGTTCAGAATAGGCAAATCCATAGAGACAAAAATAGGATAGTAGTTGCCAGGGGCTGGGAGAAGGGGAGAGTGGCAAGTGACTGCCAGTGGATGCAGGGCTTATTTTAGGGGTGAGGAAAATGTTCTGGATTTAGTGGTGATATTTCCACATTCTGAATTTGCTAAAACCCACTTAACTCTGCACTTTAAAGGGGTGAATTTTATGGTTTGTGAATTATATCTCAATTGAAAAAAAAAAACACCAGATGGAAATTTTCATCGTACAAATACTGATGTTTAGTATGCAAAATATTTTTGAGGGGCGCCTGGATGGCTCAGTGGGTTAAGCATCTGCCTTTGGCTCAGGTCATGATCTCATGATCCTGGGATTGAGTCTTGCATTGGGTCCTTGCTTAGCGGGGAGCCTGCTTCTCTGACAAATAAATAAAATTAAATAATAAAATATTTTTGAAGAAGTACTAAAGACAACTAAGTTCAATATCTAGATTCCACATAGCAAATAGTCAAAGAGGCTTCATTCTGTAGAATGAAGCAAAAGGTAGAAGTCCACATTGAAAATTCACAGCCTCACTAACAGATAATGAAATAAATTAAAACATAGGTAAAACCCCATTATATCTGTATTCAATAAGCAAAAAATTTTAAATGACAAACATTGCTTTGGGCATGAAACATTATTGAATCTTTCTGAAGGATCATATGGCCCCCTGTAGCAAGTTTTATCAGATATTTCACATTCTGGAGCCAATTTAGGAATAACGGGGAAAAATATGTGTATAGGGAGATGTTGGAAAAAATACAGGAAGCTGTGGGACGCCTGGGTGGCTCAGTTGGTTAAGCGGCTGCCTTCGGCTCAGGTCATGATCCCAGCGTCCTGGGATCGAGTCCCACATCGGGCTCCTTGCTCGGCAGGGAGCCTGCTTCTCCCTCTGCCTCTGTCTGCCTGTGCTCGCTCGCTCTCTCTCTCCCTCTGTCTCTGACAAATAAATAAATAAATAAAATCTTTTAAAAAATACAGGAAGCTGTTTATGGAAGGGTTATAGCAAGGAAGAATTGGGAACAGCTAAGCAGATAGAGCACACGATCTCTGTCAGAGGATGGATTATGTGGGTAGAACAAGCTCCGTTGAAGAAACCAGGACCACAGTCATGGAGAAGCTGAGTCCAGTCTAGGCTCTAGAGTGCAGATGGAAAGATGAGTTGGGGTAGGAGGGGTTTAGTGTTTAATCTTCATCTGATTCTTTCATCCCCTTACATCCTTTCTCTTTACAGCTCTTTACATAGGGGATGATAGAGGGGATCTCTGTGAACTAGAACAGATCTTCAGATACAGATCAGGACAGAATTTTTCAAAAACCTGACACTGGAGGGCGCCTGGGTGGCTCAGTGGGTTGAGCCTCTGCCTTCAGCTTGGGTCATGATCTCAGGGTCCTGGGATCGAGCCCCACGTCGGGCTCTCTGCTCAGCAGGGAGCCTGCTTCCCCCTCCCCCTCTGTCTGCTCCTCTGCCTACTTGTGATCTCTCTCTCTCTCTGTGTCAAATAAATAAATAAAATCTTAAAAAAACAAAACAAAACTGACATTGGGAATATGTGTCAAACATGTATCAAATATCCCACTATAGCAGCTCCATCTTTCTCATGGTGTTCAGTAGGGAAATGGAATCTCACAATGATTAAGTGACAACAAACTGAGTGCAAACTGAGTGCAGTTATGACCAAGTTTTATAATTGATTTATTTACGAGGCCTAGCCAATATTCTTAAAATCTGTAGTTCATTAATCCAGGTACAAAAATATAACAGTCCAGTCTGCTTGTTTTGTTTCTCAGCTTTCCAAGTCCTCAAGGAAGAGGATAGGAGGATAGAATAAGGGGACACATCCTTGCCATAGAGCTCTGGGGCTAAAAGGGGGTGAGCTCTCTGTCTTAGTGACATCTCAGGGTGCTAATTCATACAAGGATTTATTAAGCTACAGCCATGTACTTCTTCCTCTTAGGTGTCATCAGTACATGTTTTCTTCACCCTTTGTTTACCAATATTTGGGTTCTCAGCTTATTTCTGCTCCCATTCCATAGGCTCTTTGGGCACAGGCACTCTTCTCTTGTTATGTTACCACAGCAGCTGGAACCCAGTAGGCATTCAATAATGACAGTTGAGTGTACAGATTCAAGATACAAGGCTGGGAGCTGGAAGAGAGATGCGAAGTGCTGGGCATTCATTGAGGCCTCTGGTCAGCCATGGGACAGATGGTCAGAGGATCCATGTTCTTCCCTCCATCATGTATTCCCGGGCTGAACATAGGCTGAAGGGCCCCAGAAAAAGAGAAGCTGGTGAATGTGTAGATGAGGGATTTGTATGTTACATTGTAAAAGGAAATGTCTCCAGCCATGTAGTCCAGGAAGATGCCCACACGTCTGGGGGCTTCCCTTATCTGCAGGCGTGTTGGGGGAATGGTGGACACCTGGTACTCATTTCGCTTCATCATCATCACCACCCAGTAGCCGTTGTTGGCTGACAGCGTCATGGTCCCTTTCCTGCTTGCAGATGCCTTGCAGATGCCCAGGATCCACCCTGTTTTGTTCCCCACCTCCACTTCCCAGTAATGGCGGCCAGAGAGGAAGCTTGGAAGGCCTAGGGCGATGGTGCAACTATCAAATCTTTCTGGATTGTCAGGCAGACGATTCCACTTGTTTCCAAGTCTTACGCTCTTCAGGTTATTAGAGAAGATGAGGTTAGGGTGGGCAGTTTCTGTATCCAGAATCACATTAACTGCAGAAAGAATTAGAATACCTTGTTGGGGGTCCATGGACAGTACACCCACAGGGTTCTCCCCACCTCCAGGAAACATGGATAGGGACAGTCTTCTGGAACGCACTGGAGGTCTGCACAGGGACCCAGCAGGTGAAGTCCACTTGCCTCAGTCTGGACACTTACCAGCATGTGCCTGAGCGCATATCAGTTCTGGAACTACAGAGAAAAAGAAGAGGGGAGGGGTGCGGTGAAACCGAAGTATCCCGATTCAGAGTCTGAATGTACCCTGGTCATCACAACAAGGAAAGACAAAGACCCCTACCCCAGCTCAGGACCTTGCTTCCTCTCCTTGGATTAACCCCATTCTCCTGGACCCTAGAGCCTGCCTTGGTGACCCTGTGGTCTGACGAGTTGACCCAGACACCAAGTCCAACTCAGAGCCTATGAAGGCTTACTCCTGCCTTTGTTACAGGTGTTATTCTCTCTTCTGAATAATGCCCAGAAATCAACAGCACAGGGAATATGACAGTAACCCCCGGCAAGCACATTCTGCCATCGCTATACTCACCATTGAAGGTGTCCATTTCTGAACGCAGGGTTTCTGGAAGAAGAAAGGGAGCTTGAGTTAGGTTCCCCAGCTAGGGATAGATCAGGAGGAAGCTGAAGATGGCATCAGAAAGGCCATGGGAGATGGAAAAGGGATGTCAGAGGGGTCGGGGCTACATGGACATCAGAGAGGAAGCAAGCAGGTGCTTCCCCATTTCCCCCAAGCCCACCTACCCCAGAAAGACTTCATGCTCTTCTCCATAAACTCTGATTTCTGGTAGATCAAGTGGATCTTTTTCTCCACCTCTGGAGGAGTGTACCATGGCTTAGGAACAGTCGCTATCTTGACCCTAGAGACAAAAGACTGTTGGCCAGAAAGCCGCTGGTGCATGGGGGTAGCCCAAGTTCCCATGAGGTGGAAGTAAGGTGTAGAGTCCACAGGGGACACCCAGCCCACTTGGGCTTGGCAAAGAAAGTCCTCCCTGGACTGTGAGTTTTTTGTTCTCAACTTTGGCCACAGATTGGCATCACCTAAGGGGTTATAAAAACCACTGATATCAAAATCACAGTAAGTTTTAATAACGGCCTTAAAATGGTGTTAATATTGAAATGCTCAGCCCAGAATTACCTATGTCAAATTAATTATACTTCTTTAGTCCTTTTCTGTTGAAATAAAAATGATAGTAAATAAGAAGAAAACCACAATGAGTTATGACTCATTAGGATGGTTATTATTATTTTGAAAAACTGAAAATGACGGGTGTTAGCAAGGATGTGGAAAAATTGGGACCCTTGTGCATTGGTGCTAGGAACATAAAGTGGTACAGACACTGTGGGAATAGTATAGTGGTTCCTCAAAAAAATAAACATAGAGTTACCATATGACACGTCAATTCCACTTCTAGGTATTTGCCCCAAAGGATTGAAAGCAGAGACTCAAACAGATAGATGTGCAGTGGTATTCATAGCAGCATTATTCACAATAGCCATAAGATGGAAACAACCCAAGTGTCCATTGATAGACGAAAGGATAAACAAATTGTGGCATACACATACAGTGGAATATTAGTCAGCCAAAGGAATTAATTCAAGGAATGAAATTCTTACACATTACAAAGAAATGAAATTCTGACACATTTTACAGTATGGACGAACCTTGAAGACGTTATGCTGAATGAAGTAAGCCAGACACAAAAGCACAAATACTGTAAATTCCACTTATATAAAGCAGTTAGAGCAGTCAAATTCATAAAGACAGGACATAGAATGGTGGTTGCCAGGGCCTGGGTGAGGTGGCAATAGGGAGTTATGTTTTAATGATACGGAGCTCCCATTTGGGAGGATGAGAACGTGCTGCAGATGGTGGTGGTGGTGCTTGCACGACAATAGGGATGCACTTAATGGCAAGGAACTGCACGTTTAGAAATGGTCAGAGTGGTACATTTCATTTTATATGTATTTTACCACCAAAAAAGAAAGAAAAAAAAACCCAAAAATTTATGCTCTTGAATTTATGCTCTTACACTCTTGAAGATCTGGATTTAATTTGTGTGCCAGGGCCTGGATGTCAGGATTTTGTAAAGCTCCTGAGGTAACTGTAATGTCCAGCCTCCTCCCTTCCCTCCCCTTCCTTCCCCGGTCTGGGCTTAGCATCTCCACTCCTAGACGGTCCTTCCCTCCCTAGACCGTAAGCATTTGTGGCCTCAGGGAGGGAGGCACTTCTGCAGGAACAGTTTTCATGAGGCAAATTGCAATCCTTAGGAAGATTTCTTAGGAAACATCATTAGCACGATAGGCTGTGTTCATTCTTTGCCGTCTTCAACCCATGCTCTCTCCCCTGATCACACTCCCATTTTCCCTGCACAAATCCAGAAAGCACTTAGGAAGCTGCAGGAGATAGGAGGAGACCAGGAGGAGTCACACACCCGGGGTTGGGAGCATCTCCCTCCTAGGGATGCCTCCCCCACTGCTTCCTGCAGGATACCCAAGGGAACATGAGGGGACCTCTCGGTACCTGTGCAGGGTGACTCCGATGTCCTAGGAGAGAAAAGAGGGAAGCTCTCCATTATCAGTCTCCTAGGGGCTGTGCTGACTCCTGGTCTTTCCTCCTGGTCTTTCCACCCTGGGGTGTCAACAAAACCCAGGCACCTCTCCCCCATTCTAAGTTTCATCACCCGAAGTGGCAGCCTGGTGGGGCTTGCAACAGAAATGTGCCCAAACCCTGCTCTTCTCTTCTGGGAGATACCAGGGGATCCCTTTGAAAGCTGGGGCCACCCTGGGCTCCTGAGAGGTCATCAGAGGGGTCTGGGCACAAGACCTTTGTCTCGTACTGACTTGGGCAGAGCTAACGGCAGTGCTGGGAGCCCATGTCATCCTACTGGGCACACTGGGCAGGGGAAAGCCAGCCACACTCACCTGCATGAGCTCCCATTCCGGCTGGCACTGCTTGGCCTCCAGGTCCCCAATCAGCTTGTCAAGATGCGCAATGTCTCTGGACACTTGGGTGCTGTATTTCTCCCTGACCTGGCCAATAGTCCGGCTCAGATCCTCTAATGAGGCCACAAAGAGCTTCTCTTGCTGCTGCAAATGACGGTACAGCTGCTCCAACTGGTGCCGGAGTCTCTGCTTCTGGGTTTCAGTTTGTTTCTGAGGAACAGAAAGGTGTAGGGGTCTGTGCAGTGTGCTGGATGGGTGCACCCAGGGAATCCCTAGAAGCCCACCTCCTAGAGGCGGGTAAGAGGCTGGATCCCTCAGCTTCTTGGAGGACTGGATTTCAGAGAAGGAGACAAAATGGGCCAGAACCTTCCAGAACAGACTGAGGGTGGCAGGGGCTGGCTCTTGTAAAATTCCCTAAAACCTAGTATTCTGAGTTGATTTGTATCCCCTCCAAAATTTATGTTAAAGTCCTAACCTCTAGGACCTAAAGAATACGGTCTTTTTGGAAATAACATCATTGCGGATGTAATTAGGTAAGGTAAGGCATACTGGAGTGGCCATTAGAGTGGGGAAGTTGGGACACAGACGCAGGGAAAACAGCATGTGAAGAGACAGGGAAAAGATGACATCAACCAGCTGAGGGTAGAGTCCCGGAAGATGTCTCTCCTTCACGGCCCTCAGAAGGAACCAGTCCTGCTGACGCCTTGACTGTGGACTTCTGGCCTACAGAACTGGAGAGAATACATTTCTGTGGTTTAAGCCATTCAGTCTTCAGCACTCTGTTAAGGCAGACACAGGACACTAAGATATCTGATGTCATCTTTTTCCTTCCTTGAAAGCCAGTGTGAGGATGACATATGCCTGGGGTTGTAAATGGACAAGGTTATAACCACCAAAGTGTCCAGGAAGGAGACTTGTCTCTACTCCCCACCAAAGTGCTGGCATGCAGAAGGTCCTCAATGTGGCTCTGAATGAAGGCAGTCAGTCCACCTACGTGAATATAAGTGAACTTGACTTCTACTACCATCACACGTGGATCCGTGTTCTATCAAGAGCTTCTGTGGAAAGGTGGAGTGGCTCTAGAGAGCCTTCTCCTTCCTCTCTGGAGGGAGAAGTCCCTTCAGATCTTCTAAGACTGGACTTGAGAGATCTCATCATTTTGAGTTCTTTAGTCCTTTTGAACCAAAAATGTTTCCTCACCTTTTGTTGTTAAGGATGCTAACATTGGCTTTTTTTTCCTTAAAGAGGACAGATCAGTTGTCATGTTCAATGGCCTGTGTTTTAAAATTGTCTGATAATTTTGCTCATGATTAAATTCAGGTTCAGTATCTTAGACAGGAATACCATATTTTTAATGCTCTGGGCTCCCTAACACATCCCACGGGGAGGCAAATAGTGTCCAGTTTGTCCATCACCATTATTGCGATTCAGGGATCAGTCACTTGGTTGAAGAGGGGTCTGCCTCGCCTCTTCAGTGTAAATATGTATTATTTCCTTTATAATTAATGAGTAATCCGAGGGGTGGTACTTTGAGAGGATGTCCATATTTTTTTCTCTTACGAACTTCTGTAAAAATTTTAGCATCTGTTGATGACCTTTGTTGGTGTTGATTTTTATATTGGTGTTTGTATAGTGGAGAATTTCTTTTTTTGAAGTATTGAGAAGTTTTTATTGATTGATTGATTTAAGTAATCTCTGCCCCCATCGCAGGGCTTGAACTCAGGCCTCTGAGATCAAGAGTCATGTACTCTCTGACTGAGGCAGCCAGGCACCCCATAACCATCCTTCCTTACTTGTTTTAGCTGTCATTGTGCTGTAAAAAAGAGTTTCCCTCCCCTTCCATATGATTAAAAATTATATATGTATTTTGACTATTGAAAGAAGGAGGAGGAGTAGAAGTCTTGAAAACAGCATCACCTTTTCTTGGGGGCTCATGCTATGGCGAGTGTCTTAAGGGAAGACCAGACCTTCTCATCTCCCTGAGTTGCCCTGTGGCCCAGGCTTCTGCCTCATCTTCATGGTGGGGGGCATCCCTGACCTCTGCTTCACCCACAAGTTCCAAGACACCTGGTATTATAAGAAATGGGTTTTCTTTTCTTCTTTTTTAGACAGAGAGAAAGAGAGAGAGAGAGAGCTGGTGAGTGGGGGTGGGGAAGGTGACGAGGGGAAGGACAGAAGGAGAGAGAGAATCTTAAGCAGACTCTACACCCAGCATGGAGCTCAATGTAGGCCTGATCTCATGATCCTGAGATCATGACCTGAGCTGAAATCAGGTCAGTCTTAACTGACTGAGCCACCCATGCACCCTAGAAAGGGGTTTTCTTTTACTACACTTCATGAGTTTTGCAAAAGTTAGACACCTGGGCCAATGCCATGCCCACCTCCATTCCTGCCCTTTGTTATCTTTGTCTGTTTCCCATTGTGGTGTGGGAGATGAGATCCGGCCAACAGAATGGGTCAGACAAATTAAGGCTCTTTGGGATAATTGAATTTGCTTGCAGGGAAAATGGAAGCAACTTATGTGTCCAGGTTCAATAGTGGAAGGCCAACAAGTGTATTCATTGAAATCCGTAGCATCACAAAATGACAGTTTAAAAGAAAATGTCTAACCATTTGAATTTAAAAAACCCATATGGTTTAAAAAAAACTGAAAAGGACAATTATAAAAACAATACAAAGGAGGGGCGCCTGGGTGGCTCAGTGGGTTAAAGCCTCTGCCTTCGGCTCGGGTCATGATCCCAGGGTCTTGGGATCGAGCCCCACGTCGGGCTCTCTGCTCAGCGGGGAGCCTGCTTCCTCCTCTCTCTTTGCCTGCCTCTCTGCCTACTTGTGATCTCTGTCTGTCAAATAAATAAATAAAAAAACCTTAAAAAAAAAAAAACAATACAAAGGAGTATTTAAAATGGAAAAGTTTCTTTTCCCATTTCCTCAATCCCACCCCTCAGTGACAGCCACTGGTGTTAATTTCTCTAAACCATTTTGTGGTGAATATGAGAAAGCACAGTCTCCTTGGAGATTTCCTTTCCTGCTGGGTGTTGGTCTCCCTCTCCAGGGGCGAGGTCATCCTTGGACTCCTGTTACCTCCCTGCCCCCTCAAAAGCAGGCGATTCTAAACAGGTGATAAGTTCTGCTTCCCTATGAGACAATATACTTTAGGGACTCCCCTGCCCACTTTTGGCACCCTTCCTCCTCTTGCAGGGGTGAACTCAGGCAAGGATTGGCCATAGAACACCCCTGCCCTTACCAGCAATTTTGCAGTCTTCTTATCCCCCTGAGATCTCTGTTCCTCCCCAGATTTTCTCAACGCCTTCAGATGCTCCAGCTGCTTTTGAATTTGCTCCTGAAAAAGAGGCACTTGTTGAAGCCTAAACTTGGCCTCTGCCATCTTTAGTTGGGCCAACTCTAGAGGGGAAAATCTGCTTTAGGAGATTTTGCTGCTTTAGGAGAATTTGCTGCAGCCAAGAGCACAGGGAGGGGGCCCAGGAAAGGGGGAGAATGAATCCATCACACCAGAGGAAGCATATCCAAGAAGTGGTGAGAGAGAGAGATTCTTAATGTCATGTGGGCACCTGGATTCAGCCATACCTGAAGCTAGTGCCTTTGGATCTCAGCTCCATGAACCAGTAAATTCCCTCTTTTGCTGATCTGGCTTGTATTGTGTTTTTGCTACTTATGGCTGAAGAATGCTGACTAATGCACCAACATCCCAGGGTTGGGAAATAAAGTATCCCGGACTTTTAAAAGCCTCTCCCCTCCCCACCCCCAAGAAGACCTACCTTGTATTCCAGGGCAGCCTCCTCGATGGGGCGCACCTGGTGGCCTCGATGCTCCTGACTCAAACTGCAGATGAGACAGATAGGCTCCCTGTGGTCCTCACAAAAGAGCAGCTGGACCTGCTTCATGTGTCGCTCACACTGTGGTAGGGACTTGGGGCTCAAAGTGGCCATGTGCAAGCCTTCTTGCTGCTTGTAGTCTTCCGAGTTATTTACTGTGAGTGAGGCCAGGCGCAGGAGGCTGCTGGATGAGCATTTGCCTGAGATCTTGGGGTCCCTAGAAGCAATGGAGTATCTGCAGGAGTCATCTCTTTCCTGGGCACGGCCAGGGGGATATACAGCCTCATCCTGTGGCTTCCCTGGAGACATGGCAGTGGAAGAATTTCCTGAGTCACAAACCCAGAACGTTATGAAGGGGTGCTTACAAAGGACAGCAGAGAGAGACAGTGAACCGTGCCTGGGACACACAAATTCCTGGTTAGACTGTGGCCACTTCCAGCTTGTCCTCCCCTGACTTTGCTCCAGCAAGGCAGCAAACTACCCAGTGGACTTGAGGGCTAAGGGCTCATGACAGTCCCGAGACTTGGAATTCCTGGGTAATTATCCTAAAGAAAGGCCTTTTGTTATAAATTCCACTCCTTCCTCCTATACATATATGGATGTAGCAGGTGATATAAAGGTAGTGAGACATTCTGACCAGTGTTTGCTTTGCCGCATAAAACCACCATCTAGGCTTCTCATGACTTGAGTGAGAGACCCCCTGGGGATAATGATTCACTCATAGCCTGACCCCTAGCAGAGTCCCTGGCACATGGTAAGGATGTGAGAAGTGTGTGTTGAATGAGAGAACTAAAGGGACCTCTCTTCACATCCCTGTGCAGGAAGAATTCAATGGAAGTAGGGAAAGGGACTTGACTTTATAAGGCTGAAGGGTATAAACCCAACATGATGAGAGCTACGACCAGCTGTGCCCCAGGACCATAGCACGACTTTCATAAAGCAGAAATGACAGAAGGTACAAGAAGAAACAGAAACATACTCAAGTCATTAGTCCCCTCCCACCGCCTCTCACAAGATCCCAGGAATTTATATCACATCTCTAAGTGAGATTGTGGGAAGGCCCCGTAGTAACCATTCTCCCCTCCTTTCCTTGTGATAGAATTGATTGCTACCCCCCCCAACAAAGACCCCATTTCTTGCAGTTAGGTATGGCTATTTGACTACATTCAGGCCAAAGGGATATAAATGAAGGCATCACGAGCAGCTTCTAGAAACTTCTGGAAACTTTCCCTAAGCTTATACTCTTCTCCTTTGTCCTTCCATCCTGGTGCTTGAAATGAGGATGCCACCCTCTGAGACCATGAGTTTGAGAGCAAACTTGGTGGAGCAGAAAAACAGCAGGAGCCTTGGTTCCTCACCCACGGAGTACCTTATCTGTTCTGAGCCATCCGTGTTATTTATGTAAAGGAGAAAGAAACTTCTGTCTTGTTTCAGTTAGTGCTATTTTGACATTTCTGTTATCCACAACCCAACATAATCCCAATTTCTGCCTCCTTAGTAAAAGAGATTTAGGATTTTAGCCAATAGCTCACCTCCCTGCCCAGAGAGGTGAATGGCAGACTCTTAGCCTCATGCAATACAGCCATGGGGTCATTGTGAGAAGCAGGTATTTTTACCCAGTCTTTCCCAAAGGCTCAAGCTGGGGTCCATGAATTCCTTGGCATTCTAAAGGATTTCAAAGTGTCTAAGAACTTGAACTTTGATGCAGCATTTTATGATGATGTGCATACGTGCATTTTTTTTTTTCAGGATTCACAGCCTACCTCAAATTCTCAATGGGTTGGGGTTCCCAGGGGGCACTCAGGGATCTTGTGACATAAATACAGTGGGGATAAAAGGTTTGTGAGGAAACACCTGCACAGGTCACCCTTCCTAAGGATGCTAGGTCTTCTGAGTTCTGGGGTCCTTTCTTACCTGAAGAAGGGACTTCTGGACCTGAAGAGTAATGGAGCTCACTGCCTACCATCTCCCTCAAGGCCTCAGGGGGTTCTTGAGCCTCAATTCCATTTTTCTTCGAGGGTCCTGTGGATTCTGGCTGCTCCCAGGTCATCTGGTCTCCAGACAGTGATGCACTGGAAAGTGTATTCCTGAATATTCCCCCCTTTGAAATCATGGAATGTTCTGGATTCCTGGAGCCTTTCTCTGGAGCCACGGTAGCACCTACATCCAGAGTGGCCACTTCACTGGGGGCGGCTGCTGAGTCTGGATGATCACTTCTCGTTTTATCTTGAGAGAGAAGAGTTTCTGGTTTGGGAGTTTCTCTCTCTCCCAGAAAAATGTTAAGTTCAAGACTTCTGGGTCGCTTCTGTCCTGAAGGTAAATGTCCTTCAGAGATCTTGGGTTTTATTCTTCCTAGGGACCCAGTAAGCAACCCAGAGTCAAGTTCTTGGAGCCGTCCTAAAGAGTTGGCATTCCTGGGTAGCCTGGCACTAGGACTCCCCTTCTCCCCCTGTGGTTTGCTAGGGAGTGGGCTTCTCCTGGCACCCAGAGTCATGCTCCTGGGCCTTGACTTGTGCAGCATATCCAGGCCCTCAGAACTCTTCTGATCTCTCTGTTTGCCCGGAGGCTTCTTCTGGGGCCCCCTTCCAGCCTCCTGCTGGCTGGATGGCAGGCCAGGGGCCCCATCACCATTTTGCCGCTGCCTGTCACCTTTCAGGCCATCTGGTATCTTCAGACCTTTGGGCTTATTCTCCCCGGAGGAACAAGACATTGCTGAACCGTCAGTGCCACTTGCTTGTATCAGAAGCTCTGCAAAGACAACAGGATGACAAGGCATGAAATTGTGCAGTGCTCAGGGCTAGGGTTTGAGAGAGAAGGGAGAGAAAGAAAAATCCTCTCAGAAATGACAAGTTCAGAATTGTTGTTGCCTAGACAATAACAATTACCATTAAATAATAAAATGCTAAAAAAAGATAAAAAATAATAAAATGCTAATTATTTGCTATATATTTCTCAAATAGTGCTTTTCAAACTTCTTTGGCAGGAGAGCTTGTTTCCAATATAAAATCTTACACAAAATTCTTAATTTGTAAAATAAAATCCCCCCTGGTTTACTGGTAGTAACGTGTGTGTGATTATAGGTGTGTAAAACTCTCTTATAAAACCCATCAATAAGGGGCACCTGGGTGGCTCAGTGGGTTAAGCTGCTGCCTTTGGCTCAGGTCATGATCTCAGGGTCCTGGGATCAAGTCCCACATCGGGCTCTCTGCTCAGCAGGGAGCCTGCTTCTCTCTTTCTCTCTTTCTCTGCCTACCTCTCTGTCTACTTGTGATCTCTCTCTGTCAAATAAATGAATAAAGTCTTTAAAAAAAAACCATCAATAAGAAGAATTAAGGGGGCGCCTGGGTTGCTCAGTGGGTTAAAGCCTCTGCCTTCGGCTCAGGTCATGATCCTAGGGTCCTGGGATCGAGCCCCGCATCGGGCTCTCTGCTTACCAGGGAGCCCGCTTCCTCCTCTCTCTCTCTCTGCCTGCCTCTCTGTGTACTTGTGATCTCTGTCTGCCAAATAAATAAATAAAATCTTTAAAAACAAAAAAGAAGAATTAAGGTATTTGGCATAAAAATTTGAAAACAGATTTTGAAGGACAGTTAAAACTTCAGAAACTAATTGACTTCTGTTTTATTCTATGGTTTCATGACATGAAGAAAATCCTAACAAACAGGTAAGTAAGTGGATATGGTGGTTTTTAAAAAAGATTTTATTTGTTTGAGAGAGAGAGAGTGAGAGAGAGAGCATGAGAAGGGGGAGGGTCAGAAGGTGAAGCAGACTCCCCGCTGAGCAGGGAGCCTGACATGGGACTCAGTCCCGGGACTCCCGGATCATGACCTGAGCTGAAGGCAGTTGCTCAGCCGACTGAACCACCCAGGCGCCCCTGTGTTGTTGTTGTTTTTAAAACAGCTCACTTTTGGGGCGCCTGGGTGGCTCAGTGGGTTAAAGCCTCTGCCTTCAGCTCAGGTCATGATCCTGGGGTCCTGGGATTGAGCCCCGCATCGGGCTCTCTGCTCAGCAGGGAGCCTGCTTCCTCCTCTCTCTCTCTCTGCCTGCCTCTCTGCCTCCTTGTGATCTCTCTCTCTCGCTGTCAAATGAATAAAATTAAAAAAAAAAAACCCAGCTTGCTTTGAAGTTTCAGGATATCGTTTCATTAAACAGAAATGACAGCAAAGGCTTAATTCCAAGGACTACATAAAAAGGAGTTCAAGGACAGCACAAACTATTACCCTGGTGGCCTCTAGAATTTCAAAATTTTGTTAATGACACATTTTAATATGCATTTGTTGGTTTTATAAGTTAGAAAAGTTAAGAAATTTGGATTAAGTATTTGCTAACATTCTAAAGAATCCCTGAATTATCTTCCTTGGATGGAACTTGAAAACTACTACGCTAACGAATAAAAGAAGATATCCTGTAATCAGCCCTTTAATTTTTGGTAGAAGAGGCTCTTACTAAAATTGCTTCAGAGCTGTTTAAAATGCTTTGCTGTTGCAAACACTTGGCTTCCTGGGAAAATGTAAGTTCCTCAAAATGGCTCAAGAACGAATGGGAAAGCCCTTGAAGATGCTAATAACCCAGTTTGTTTGTTTGTTTGTTTGTTTGTTTGTTTAAAAGATTTTATTTATTTATTTGACACAGAGAGAGATATCACAAGGAGGCAGAGAGAGAGGAGGAAGCAGGATCCCCGCTGAGCAGAGAGCCTGATGTGGGGCTCGATCCCAGGACCCTGGGATCATGACCTGAGCTGAAGGCAGAGGCTTTAATGCACTGAGCCACCCAGGTGCCCCAATAACCAGGTTTTAAAACATGAAATTCTACTCATCAAATCACACTGAGATCATGGTTTCGTCCTATTAGTCTTTCTTTTTTTTTTTTCCTATCAGTCTTTCAAAGAGTGGAGAACTTTTATGTTATTTAAACATTCTACTCCAGAAAAATACATGGAAAGCATTTCTAACATGTCCTCAAAGTCTAGAAGTAGATGAAATACTCAAACACTAACCAATACTATTTAAGCCCATTACGTATTTGCCCCCGCATCTCAAATAATAAAAATTCTTTGAAAGCAAAAATCCAATAGGCCACACTCGTTGATCACAGTGTGATAAAATCAGAAAATTACAGCAAAATCGGAATAGAAGAACAAGGAGGAGAAGAAGGAAGAAAAACAAGGAAAGAGAAAAGATGAAAGAAAGGAAGGAAAAGAATTGGGAATTTTAGAATACCTTTGTGAAATGTGTCAAAGAAGAGCTCAAAACTGAAAATAAGTGGATTTCAATGTGAACATTACCTGTTGACCCTGCTGATATGGTCAGTTAGCAAGCCTTTTTTTTTCTCTCTCTCCTGAAGATACTGGTCTGTACATAGGGGTTGATCACAATGAAGTTAGGGCCCCTTTAAGACCAGTCATCTAACTCCCGCCTCTCCTGATTCCACCCTGCAGTGAGAATCTCAGCCTCCCCCTCCAACACTCCCTGCCCCCCTCCCCTGCCCTTTTTAAAAGCCATTGGGAGCCTTAGCTATCATAAACCAGCTCCAAAGACCTAAGCAGCACAAAGAACTTGCTCGACCAGAGTCCCTGGGGTCATGGTAGACCTGGGACTCCTAACCCCAAGTCACAACACATTGGCCTAAACACAAGTTCCCTCTCGGACCTTTTACCCCAGACGCACTGGGAGAGGAATGGGGCATGGGGCCCGCTTACCTGGGCCAATTACCCTGTTAAGCTCCTCTGCCAGGAGATTCTGGTTCATGGCCCTCAGGACTTGCAGGGTCAGCCTCGCAGCATTCTCTTCCCCATAGTGGGTGATCATCAGAGTGGCCAGCTTCACGGGGTTGGCATTGTGGAGCTGGCCCCGGGGGATCCGGGAGTGATCCTTCTCCAGGCTGATGCTCAGCTTAAACTTGAACTTCTCAAAGTCATTGTCTCCCAGCTCCTCTAAGGAGTCCAGCAGATGGTCACTGGGCGTCTTGATCATGCTGTTGACCAGGAGAGGCCAGAGTCAGCTGTCTGAAACAATCTCTGCCCTGGAACCCAGAGGATGGGTAAAAAGAAGCCTCTTGTGAAATAGCGGAAAAGGCACAGGAAATGCTCTGCACAGTGGAGGAACTGAGCTATGAGTGTCATCATTTGTTTGTTCCCAGTGATGACACTTGCGTTCTCTTTCTCACAGATTTGGAGGCTTTTACAGTTGGGAGGGCTCAAGGTCAGCCACATGGTCCTCCAGCGCCCCAGCCATCACCTTCGCATTCTGCCCTGCAGAGCCACAGGTAAGTATGTGAAGGAGGGACTGGGGCTGGATTCCAGAGTCTTGATCCTGGGCAGGCAATCAGATGCCTCTTCTCCCGTGATGTGGGGGAGGGGAAGCAGGAACAAAGCCACTGGTCCCACACTGCTGAGGACCATGATGAGGGTCAGTCTGTCTGGCCAGTTCTCCTCCAGACTCTTGGGATTTTACTGGCCCTCCAAAGCAAATGGTGGGAGGAGCGGGGGAAACGCAGCCCTGCAAGTTTTGTCCTTCCCTGCCCAGAAGGAGGTGAAGCCAGAAGGACACTGCCAGGACACAGGCCCTGCTGTCACCCCTGTTGATGTAGTTCCGGTTGTCTGGTACTTTCAGCATCACGAAGCCTCAAAACAGCATGCGTGGGACTGTCATCCTGATTTATTTGTTTTCTGCTGTGCCTTGGCTTCCTGAGGGCGTACCCACGAGGGAGGGGGCTTGTCCATACACTCTTAGGAACAAGTTTATTGTTGTTTTTAAGTGAGCTCTATGCCCAGTGTGAGGCTTGAATGAGAGCCCCGAGAACAAGGGTCACCTGCTCTACTGACTGAGCCAGCCAGGTGCCCCTGAACAAGTATTTTGGACACCATGCCAGGATGTGGAAAAACAAGGGTGAAAAAGACATAGGTGTCCTTTGGAGCTCACATCCCAGCATCGGGCTCCAGAAGTCACTCCAAGGTTAGTAGAAGTCGTATGTGCAGTGAGCGGACCTCCACAGTTAACTGCTTCTGTCTTTCTGCATACCCTGAGTTTTATCCCCAACTGTTTGTTTTGAAAAATTTTAAACCTAGAAAAGTTACCTAGATTCACCAGCTGTTTACATTTTACAGTATTTAGTGATTCTCTCTCTTATATACACACATGCGTGCACTTCATTTTTCCTTTTTTTCCCCACTCTGAACCATTTTGTAATGAATTGAAAACATTATCAGCTATCAGTCCAAATGCCCTACATACCCTAAGTACAATGAACAAGGATACAAGGATATTATTTTAAAGATTTTATTTATTTATTTGACAGACAGAGATCACAAGTAGGCAGAGAGAGAGGGGGAAGCAGGCTCCCCACCGAGCGGAGAGTGTGATGTGGGTCTCCATCCCAGGACACTGAGACCATGACCTAAGCCGAAGGCAGAGGCTCAACCCACTGAGCCACCCAAGGATATTATTTTAAATAATCAGAATACAGGAGCGCTTGGGTGGCTCAGTTGTTAAGCGTCTGCCTTCGGCTCAGGTCATGATCCCAGGGTCCTGGGATTAAGCCCCACATCATGCTCCCTGCTCATTGGGGAGCCTGCTTCTTCTTCTCCTACTCCCCCTGCTTGTGTTCCTCTCTCGCTGTGTCTCTCTCTGTCAAATAAATAAAAATCTTAAAAAAAATAAATAATCAGAATACAATTATCATACTCAGGAAAATTAACATCATTTTAATACTATAAGGAGCCCATAATCAAATTTCTCCAATTGCCCTGATAATGTCCTTGACAGGTTTTTTTTCCCCAACCCAGGGTCCAATCAGAGATCCTGCACTGCTTTTAGTTGTCACATCTCTATAGTCTGCTTCTGCTAGAACACTTTACACTTCCCTACCTTTTTATTTTTTTATTTTTTTATTTATTTTTTTTTAAGATTTTTATTTATTTGACAGACAGAGATCACAGGCAGAGAGGCAGGCAGAGAGAGAGAGGGGGAAGCAGGCTCCCTGCTGAGCAGAGAGCCTGATGCGGGGCTTGATCCCAGGACCCTGGGATCATGACCTGAGCCGAAGGCAGAGGCTTTAACCCACTGAGCCACCCAGGCGCCCCAACACTTCCCTACCTTTTTAAATTCGGTCAGTGTTTTTGCAAAGTCTTTTCCAAGCAGAATGTCCCTTAATTTAGATCTGTGCATCGTTTCCTTATTATCAGACTGAAGGTACATTCAGCTGCTCAAGATGTCTCCATTTTTTTTTAAGGATTTTATTTATTTATTTGACAGAGAGAAATCACAAGTAGGCAGAGAGGCAGGCAGAGAGAGAGAGGAGGAAGCAGGCTCCCTGCCAAACAGAGAGCCCGATGCAGGGCTCCATCCCAGCACCCTGAGATCATGACCTGAGCCTAAGGCAGAGGCTTAATCCACTGAACCACCCAGGAGCCCAAGATGTCTCCATTGTAAAAGGACATTTTTTCTTTGTAATTAATAAGTAACCTGAGAATGTGGAAATGTCTGGTTCTCCTACAGTCTTTCACCCCATGATCTGAGCATTCGTGGATGATCCTTTCCTCAATCAGTTGCTCCAGCGGTCCTTGCAAAATGGTGATGTTTTTGTCACTTAGCTGGTATCATTTGCATGTCCTGGTTTAAGCTTTCTGAACTTCTCATGAAATTTTTGGCTTACAGATGTTCTGTCGGTAACACAATGGTGCTTAGTCTGTGCCAGGCACGCTTTGCTTTATGTCCAGTATCTTCTCAAATCTCCACAGCACGCCTCCAGGATTCGTGATTCATCATTGGTCTCATGGCCGGCATTAGTGGTTTAGTGACTTGCTCAGTGACTGAGCCAGGATTCAAACTCCCTCCTTTAACCGCTTTGCAGTATTGTCTGCGTGCATGATAATAATATTATTTTACATTCCTCACTAACCACAGATGTCGCTTTTCCAGCTGTCCAGTGAAGCTCACAGTGGGCTCTTCTGACCACTCCCACAGGTCATTCACAACACTCAGATGCCTGCCTGAACAGACAGCACTATGTCTGACCCGCCTGTGTGTGACCAGCTGGGACCAAGGCTTCAATGCCTTCTGCTTGGTCAGATGTATCTTACTGTCCACTTTGTCCACATTCTTAATATTTTGCAGAGGACTCAGTCTTTTTGGTTTAATTGCTGACAGCATCCAGTTTTCTGGATCCTGCTGAGAACCCCAAATCCAGCATACTCCCTAAAAAATGGATGGACCCAAATGCATGCATATTTATGGTGCAGATGTTGGATGTGGCGTTCTCAGGTTGGGCCAGAAGCGTGTTGACTGAGCGTCTCTGGGATCAAGACCTGTGCAAGATTTCAGAAGGCAGTAACACAGTCACCTCACAGGGAGCCTCAAACTCCCGAGACAGAACTGAAGTTGTGCAACAACCGCAGGGTCCTTCGTGTGCCTGGGGTCCCTGACCCTGTCCTGACTGGCCAGGAAACTCCTTTAAGTGGACACTAACACACCAAGAGCAGAATTGGGCAGGAACTGGGGCTTTCCAGTCCAAAGCAGGATATTTTGCAATTGCAGTGATAACCTTTCACAACAGGGAGAAATTCTGAGGCATGGACTTGCCTTTTTTTTTTTTTTTTTTTTAAGAGAGAGCATGCAAGCAGAGTTTGGGGGGAAGAGGGGCAGAATGAGCGGAGAGAGAGAATCTCAAACAGACGGCCCACTGAGCTCGGAGCCCCACACTGGGCTTGATCTCACAACCCTGAGATGATGACCTTAGCTGAAACCAAGAGTCAGTCGCTCGACTGAGCTACCTAGTTGCTCCAAGGCATGGACGTGTAAGGTAGTGGCATTTCTAGGTCAAGAGGAGCTGAAAGAGGTTCCAGTTTTTGAGGTTCCGGTAGTTTTTTAAAATGAAGAAATGTGAAAAGACAATTATAGCTCTTGGGATGCCTTTTAAATGTCCGAACAGTTGTAGTGGAGTGTCTGTGAAATCTGTCTTGTGCCTCCGTGACTGTATGTGCACCCTTATTTGGAAACAACATGACAAACCTCAGTCCATCGCACTGGTGCGAGCAGAGAGACCTCAACCTCTGCTCTTACCCTAAGTAACGCACAGCCCAGACATCTGGGTTTCATCTTTCTTACTCCATGAGAGTTTCACTTTCTAACACATTCATTTTTGCATCACTTTGAGATGTTTTAAGTCAATTTGTATTACTTTTGTAAAAGAAAAGAGTTTAAAAAAAGTATTTTATAATTAGCTTAGCCTCGAAGGGGATATCAGTCCTGTCCCCACAACCATCATGATAAAAGGTGTGTGGTATTTAAATATAGTACATATCAGTTATTGAGAGAGTCTTAGGCAAGATCATGGAAGAGTTCCTGTGTTAATCCGGAGCTGGAAATAACAGATCCCACTGTGACCCAAACTCTTCCTCACTCTCCAGTATATTGAATTTTAAGGGAGAAATGTGAGACTTTGAGAGGCTAATGTCTTAATCTCAACATGAAGTTCTAGGCAATGAACTTTCCCCTGAGAAACATACTTGTAACTGTGCTTCCTGAGAGCGAACCAAGTTCTGGTGCAGCCTCCAACCTCCTGAGCAAGATGGAAACGGAGAGAAAGGCAGCTTCTTAGGTGGCCTTGACCTGTGGAGGTTGTACAGTAGTGGGGCGGGAATAGTTCCTGGATTGGTTTGCCAGTGAGAGTTTCATTTGCAGTATGGTAATGCCAAGCAAGAAGCTTTATGTCCTCTAAAGTGCTATACACATTATTGATTCAGATTGTTAAATCTAGATGGAGGATAAATGAGTGTTCATTTTACTCTAATTTTTAAATATATTTAAACGTTTTGTAATTTAAAGCACTGAAAAAAAATTGTTTTACCAATATTTCTAGGGACCCTTTTAGGAGGCTGTCTCTGAAGATAGTCCCTGACCTCCAAAAGCTTACAGGTTAGCGAAGGAGAAGAGCCCAGGTGCCTGGAAAGGCAAGTGCTCTCCCTTGCCTTGCACCCTTTGAGGTTCGGTTTACGTAATCGTCTCCCACTCCCACCTCCC